AAGTGAAGGCTTAGTATCCTACATGTCGGTGCAATCAGAAGCTCGCATTTAAAGGACGAATTCACGCTGGAAAGGCAACCCATTTCAAATTAAGTTAGCGATGGTGAGTGGTACACTAAAGAAGGAAAAACCATGCGAAACGGCCCAGAACCTGAGAAATGGGACCACTTCCTTGCCCGTTGATTTGAGCATTGATGCGACTATCATCGCTGTGCCCTCTTCAACGCTACGCTCTCTCACCTATCTAATCACTCACCACGTATAGACCTGCGGCGAGTGATCAGATGATCGGTGGGCGTGCACTGACCAGCCGCGGCGGGATTAAACCTTAATAGGTCAACGAGGTCAACTCCTCCTGTGCAAATTGTGCTTCAGTTCGCACACTTAGGAGCTCCGCGGGTCCCTCAACCAGGTGAATTCTTCCTAATTCGATTTTCCCTCTGATCGTGAATTCGTCCTTTAAGTACCCGGGAAGAAACATGAAGGAATCCGGGGCGTCTTCAAAAGAACCCTCATTGTCCCTCAGTGATATCCTGGCTAATACTACTCGAGGGCTAAGAAGGCTGGTTAATCATCAGTGCCTGGATATAGGTTGCCTGAACAGACAAGGACTAAGATGGCGATCTGTACGTTCAAACTACCGACGCTTCCATCGCAGCTCTTATCGAAGATCTGTTGAGGCAAGCCAGGAAGATCAAGTACGACTTCGTCGGACTGATCGAGACGAGAATTCATGTATCGACCACTACAAGTCGTTTTTGACAGTGAAATTCCTTCGGAACATGGGACAAAGCGATAGCGACACAGGTGTACTCTCACGCGCTTGGCCATAAACATCGATTCGTACGAAACCCCGATAACCTGAACGAACATTTGAGATTAATAGGGTGTTTCAACTGATGCATTGACAATCTTCGCCGCCTACGCACATATCCTGCTACGACGAGGATGAGTTCTATGAATTGAGAATTCTACAAGAAGGCCTTCTTTACAGCCATCGTCGGCGACTTCAACGCTATGATCGGCCCCAGAAGATCCGAAAAACTTCTCATCACACGCACTAAACGGAATGAAATGAGCGGAGTGAAAGACTGTGTGATCGTTGTTTTCGATAACATAGGTACATCTATCCTGCCTATGTAAGCCTGCCGCCCCCATCAGTCTGCGTCAACCAATTCCCCTCAGTGTTGTAGAGTATCATCGAAGGTCCACGCGAGCGCGACCGCGTCGATATTGCTTGAGAAACCATCAACGATGCTCTGTGCGAGAGTAAAATTATACGGTGAATTTTTCCTCGCGCGAGCATGAGAACTCAGGGCAATCTGCGTAAAGACTTCACGTTAAGGTACGAGGAGGATATGCAAGCGCGCGTTAAGGCAGTGGATGCAACGAGTGCCAGGCCTTTATTTGACATCACTTCTAAGGTACTGACTCGTGCATCGAGAGATTCTCACACACATATCCCTATGTCCCCTCTCGCGCGCGGAAAATTCACTATAATTCTACTCTCGCCCAGCAGAGAGCGATGGTCGAGGAATTCTTTGAGCGTTATTCACCTTGGAGGGGGATTCGTATATTGCCATTGGAAGCTTACAGGAACTAGAAGTCGTTACGGAGAACCATTTGGATAGATAGGGGTCGAAAAAGGCTCAAGACGGGGATAACCCTCTTTACTCTTTACATTTGGCGCAGCTGCAGATACATATGATGGACTCTTCGAAATTCTGCTTTGAAAAAATACTAAAATTTTCTGGGAGGAATGTGTTCCTTTTAAAATAAAAGGATAAAGCATTTGCCGTTGATCAATCCCTTTTTGGGATGCGGCACGCATTCTACTTCCATTTGTACATTCGTAGTGGCGTTTGAATGCGATGTGGCCTATACAATGACTTGCGGGGGCCAGCCGATGTTCAAGTCAGTGTTTTTATCCTCCCAGACAAGTCTGGTACCAATTAACCGACCCCGGAGGGATGGAAGGCTTGGTTGGCCCGGGCGACTCACGACCCAGGATTTGATCCCGGACCGCTCGCGTGGTAAGCGCGCCACTTGTCACTACACCACCTTCCCCTGACCTTTTACAAAGTGCGATATAAAATTCCATCTAAACGAGCAGTTCTCGATATTGGTCAACTCGTCCGAATTCGAAATCAGCGGCGGAGGAGAGGGTACTTTCCTCGGATTCCTTGCGAGTGCTGCCTTGAAAGGAGTTCGCGATGGAAAGAGAGCCTACCAGAAATCAAATTAGAGGCGGTCAGTGATGGGGTGGAAAAAACCGAGATAAACAACCTTGAACCCGAGAATCGGGACCCCTTTCTGCCCGCTGACTGACACTAGTTCTAGCCACCTAGCAAAGAGAGCGTTAACGTTGAAAGGTCAGCACGCAAATCAACGGGCAGCAGGGAGTCCCGATTCTCGGGTTCAAAGTTGTTTATCGCGGTTTTTCATCCAGCCCTGCACCACTGACAGCCCTGCACCTTGATTTCTAGTGAACTGTCTTTAATCGTGAACTTTTTCAAGGCGGAACTCGTAAGGAACCCGAGGAAGAGTACCCTCCCCTCCGCCGGTGATTTCGTACCCTTTCAAATTCGGACGAACGACCGAGATTGAGATTGGGGTGCGTTGACGCTCTCCTCCTCAGGGTACTGCACCTAAAACTGAGGCACCACTTACTTGCTCGATGCAGCTTAGGACTGAGCCTATGCGCAAGCATGGGCTCGAAGGCATGCCCCAAGATCACATGGCGTGACTCTTGCACACGAATGCGAATGTATTGGTGCGAAAGGGGCCAATAACGAAAAAGGAAACGAATCTATCGAAAACGCTTATGTTAGGTGGTTTTTCCTTTCTTCGACAACCGACCCATCGTGGAATACTTTTCCAAACGTACGACTGAGACGTGGATCCGCGCAGACAGAAAGAGCATGCGTCAGCATCATCCGATGGGCTGTGGAGAGTACGTTATACTAGGAGTTTCTCTATCCGCGTAAGGCACAGGAGGGGACCCAGAGTTCCGGTCAGGATCAACCCTACCGTTGGTACTTTTTGGGATTTACGACATCCCCTTTTAGGGGGTCTGATACGACCACCCCCCCCCCCTACTCTGCTCGAGTGTGTACATAAACATGAAAGGAAGTGGTCATGGAAATCCCTATGGAGACGATGAGGAAAGTGACATAGTGGATTGGGTAGGGGTCCTATCCAATGAGACGACATGTGAAACTTCGTATCAACGGCGTGATAAGACCGCCGAAACCCACTTCGTTCGCCTTCACTCTCCGTTTCTAGTTCCGAGTCTTAAAAAATAACGGTTCTCGACAAACAACTCGTCCGGCCCGCCAGTTCCTTATTTCATGAGAGAACAGAGGGAGTCCTTGCTTAGAGCTTCGTCGACGGTTTTCCTTGCTTCCTTTTTCATTTGCAGTCAATCCACCTCCAAATATTAGTAATCAACAATTTTACCCCGCGAGTTCGATCTGGAATTGTTGCTTCAACTTGAACATAAACGGGGAGAAACTCGAAGGCGCGGGAATATTTCCCGTATTCCCCGGTTTTCTTGCTACACCAAATGAAATTTCATAAAATTTGCACCTGTCTTTTTCGAGGGTCATAACCCCCTTCAAATTCCAGGTTATGCGAAAAGGTGAGATCATTAGGCAAACTCAAAACAAAATACTTCCTTAAAAATCCTGGACATTCTCTAAGTTTTTAAATAAAAAATTAGCACGTTGATACTTCTGAATACAACTTCTTGCACATGCGACTGCAACTTCAACCTTCGAACGACCACAATTTCTTTAAATTCGTTGTTTTGGGTAGCTGAAGCCAGTATGACGAACTTCAAGGATCAAATTTTCTGATAACTGCCAAAACTTTTTTGAAGTCACTCGAAAATTACTCCTGTTGTAACTTTACAGTGGGGGGGGGGTTGCAGGACTATTTTTGCGCAGAGTTTTTCGACCTTCAAATTATCAGAACTTTTTTCAAACTCACGATTTTCAGAAGCTGAGACCAGTATGGCAAACTTCACCGTTCAAGCTTCTCAAAATGCTAGAACTTACTCAAAAAGTTACCGATTCAAAAATTATTCTGGAGGGCCACTCATCAGCCATTTTTGGGAAAACGTGGATTTTTGATGCTTCAGTGGTCGTAACTTCCTTCAAACAATTTTGTGTGGAATTTTGAGTGTTTTAGAGAACTACGAGTACGCCTTCAAAAATTCACTCAAGCCTTTGTAGAAATCCATTTCCCAAGAAAAAAAATTCGTTGTAAAAATTTTCTTTTTCTTCGGGATGTCCTTCCCATACTGCTGCAATTTTCATCGTTTTATTCACCCCAGAAACATCGGAATTCTTTTTAAACAGTCTTTAGTCACTGATAACTAAAATCTAGAGCGCTTTGTTACAACAATCCCTGTTATGGTGAGCGTCGCGCCTGCGCTGTGCTTTTAATTCGCCGATTCACTTCACAGTCGATAGCGATTTCCCCTGCTGATCACCGAAGTAAGACCCCCCCTCCATCACGTGGACCATCTACGACCCCCCTCGTTGGTACTTGTACCAACATACATTTGACTCTGGTTCGAACTCTGTCAAAGATCGGGATCAGGCACGGCCGTTTTCACCAAGAAGCCATTATCAGAAGGACCAGATATGTCATGCGATTTTGTGATGATGGCTGGGCCAAAACGGTTGCAAGCGGATCACTTGGGACATCGAACAAACATCAGGACGACCACCGGCTTGACGATTAGATTCCTACGAAACCTTCGAAAAGTAATTTAACGCATTCACGACGACGCCATTTTTCCACTTTTCGGTCGCGCTGGACGGATGCGATTTTGTGTGCGCCGCCGCCTCACCACATACCCGCAGATTTTGTTTTGTAAATGAACAAAAACATGAATGTCACAAGTAGCAGCATGTACGCTACCTGAGCAAATCCTTGGAGTGCAAAATAGTACAGTAGTATAAAACGACGGAATTTAAAGTATTTGCTCACTTATTATAACCATGTATGGTCATTTCCTCTGGAACCTTTTCCTCCTCGTAATCGTAGAGTCGCAACTTGGCAGGTTTGTTCGACCGGTCTACCGCTGGAGGCAGGAAACCTGATCCAAAGCGAAAGCCGCCTTCTGAGTTTGCATACGGAACAACTCCATGCCTTAAATAGATAAATATAGCAAGCATTTCTCTCGCTGATATTTACTTGTCGCTGATCCAACTCACAATTTGATAGTTTCACCGCTGCTGTCGTTCTCCATGGTTTCACTAATCACGCTGCGAGTCTTAGGAGAGCCCATGTGAGATAGGTGGTCCTAGAAAAGTTTTTTATATCCGTAGCATAAAGCAATGCTGTTATGATAACGGAAAATCGTAACATCCAAACAATATTGTATAGTGCTAAAGAGGGAATTCACCATCGCCAGTCTTTTTACCGGAACACCAGTAGAGGAAGATGCAGAAGAGTATTGCGGACCTAGACGTGTCCTGAAATGAAGACTGCACATCACTTCGGCTTGGAAAACACTGAAGGCAAGAAATTTGATGAAAGTGAGATACCTTGGTGGGACCGGTGGTCCGCATGAAAGATTGCTCAGCTGTGAAATACAACTTGTTGAGTCATCGTCTCCCTCGTCACTAGGATGGCCTGACGTTACAGAAGAGCACGCTGATGCAGATGATGATGCCCGAGGTCTTTCCAAGGAATCTGAAATTTCACAAATACTCAGCCTTTACATATACATAAATACATCTATCACATATTTCGTGAAAGGGCAAGGAAGAGCACTAATTACCTACGCACTTATACCCGCAACACGAGGCATAAAGTGACTCCTAAACTCCGTGAGAGCTGTAACTGAAGTATTTTCCCGAATTTCTGATAACTTCAAAGGTCTCAGCCCAGTGTTTATAAGGTTATTAAATATAAACAACGCTTAAGTTTTACCTTACAAATTTTGCAACTTTTCTAAGAACAACTAATCTTTTCAGCCAGTTTGGACTTTTTGCTAATATCGCTCATTCCTTCTATTTACTCCTAGCCGATACACTGACTCACGGGAAAGACTATGTAAAGGCAAGCCGAATTTCTCTCCTCCCGGACATGCCTAGGATAAATTAGGCGACCCTAGAAAGGTGAAAGGTTCCATGGCTTATCAGCGCACGATCCAGGGGGTTTGATCCCCGTACCGTGCGCGTGACAGGCGGTGCCGCTTGTCCACACCACTTCTGCTTCTATAAAAAATCCATGACACAGGGGATAGGAAGGAGGCAGAAAAAGACGTACGAATAGTAGTGCGATAGGGTTTTCGAAATGGCTACGGTACGACAATGATTTTTTTTGCAAATCCACCATAAGTAAGATAGGAGGAATCGGACAGAATGGAAATACTGACGTCATTGCTCTTTAGCCAATTCTCTAGAATGGCAACAAATGGAAGAACTAAAAAGAATGAAGGGAGACAATGAAAAATGAAAATGGAATCCCATCGATATTTCGATGCCTTTAACTAACAAGTTCAAGATTAGAATATCTCTCGAACGGTGGGCACGACGCGCGTGGAAAAATAGTCATTTAGCCAACTCCTTCACAGCACGCGGTCAATGAGGGAATCTATACGCAGATTTACGTGAGAGATCAAGTGAGTGGACAAACTTCTGAGGAACATTTGTAAAAAAAATGCACATGTAAATGTATGGAAAGCAAACTATCGATGAGGTGAGGCCCCTAAGATTATGTCATTCAATGGCGCGTGCGCGTTAAGACATGGAATTATCAACGGATTTCGAGGGATTCCAGAGTTCGCTAGTCTGACGGGACTAATATATAATCTGACAGCTGGAAAGCCTACTTATGTAGGTGTTTTGAAACAGATTTAATCGTCAAGGTTCAGGAAGTTTGTGGTGGAAAATAAACTAAGATGACTACAGTATAGAATGGAAAGGCTGTGGGCATAAGCACAAGAAAAACAAGTGGCCAGAGCTAGTTCCACAGAATTAGGCAGCCTAACTCCTCTCAAACCCTACTAACGGAAACTTAAATATTCGACATTACGGTGGAACGCTGTACCGAAACAATGGAGGAAGTGTTCGGAGGCTCATTGATTACGACTGAATACAATTATCAATCAAAACCAAAACAATCTGAAAATGGTATGCCGGCTTCACTAAATGAATTTAGGAAATCGGAAATAATAAGAAAAGACTAAATAGAAAGAAAAGAGTGAATAAAACCTTAAGCGGAAATTACCTATGAGGACCAAGGAAAAGTTCTCGAAACCAATTCATTTTATCATGGAAGTTTAGAAAAGCTCTTTATCAATTTTGGGAAACCAAAACTAACCCGTTTCTTCGATGTCGCCGTTGATGACTGCTCTTTCTTGCCGCTGCAGATGAAGGTACATGGCGTTGAGCGCTGTGATTTCGGAAGTTTCTCGAGTGTAGCTGTGTTCTTCTTGATTTCTGAAAAGAGAAGTTTTCAAGGAACAGAAAAACCTCTTGATCTTTCCATAACCGCACAGCACAACACCACCTAGTCGCTAATTTGTTTCTGCCACGTCCTACTAACCCACACCAAACGGCATTATCACAACGACTGGGCTCACGTAATGTATTTGAGCGGCAGATTTCGCTTCTTCGTGAAAAGATGTGATCACAGGAGGAGGATTCATTTCACGTTCAAGTGAAGTTTAAGCGGACGTAACCCAATGATCTAGGATGAGTTTGATATGCATTATAAAACAGTGTAACTCATTACTCTCCGATTGCATTTAAAGGAAAAAAAACAAGTTTTTTTGCGAAACATCGGAGTTGGGAAATAGTTGCCGGACTCACATCGCTGAGGTTATGTGAAAATGAGTGACGTAAGAAAGAGCACTTCTGCAGGTTATCCCTCCACGATGACGCCTCCTCCTTCTTTAAGGGCTGGATTGGACGCGTAAAACTGCTGGAGGTGACGCGCCCTGGATTCAAAAGAACAACTGCATCGGAAGGTGTGACGGGATTGAAACGGATGCAGTCGGGTAGTTCATCGATGATGGAGTCCCGCAAAGGCGAGAATTGAAGCGTGACACTCGTTTAGGATTATGAACGAACTCAAACGCATGTAATTCGTCTTCTCCACGCGATGACCGTGACGTCGTCACCTCAAAAATACATAAAAAATGTTTGAAACTTTAGGTGGACAAAGTTTGACTATTTGGTCAGCCATGCACAATTCTCAAATATTACCCGGCTTGCAGTGATCAGGCTTTTGGCTGATCAGTGTTTATCCTAGACTACACAAAAATACAATAAAAATGTCTAGGTGCAACACCTGCTCTTGGACGAGAGGATGCCGGTAACATCTGATAATATTTCTACTGATGAACTGAACTGACACAAAAAGCATGCAGTAAACGAAACAGAAAGGGTAATGCACGGTTTGGTAAATAAGGTAATGCGAACACTGTAGCCACGCATATTAGCGAACAATGATAGAATACCTCGCCATAGAAAGGGTGCTCACAACCTCAACACTGCCGACCGCGGCGATCTCTGCTATGATTAAATTTCCCAAACAGAAAAATTATCATGAAAGTGCTAAATTTTTGCACGATTCGATCGTGTCCTTTCAGTCTAGGATCATCGAATGTCACAATATTTTAACGAATAGAACGACTGAAAATGAAACGAAAAGAAAAGAAAGAAGAGAACAGTAGATAAATTATAGGGATCTTCACGTATAAATAATAAAAACAAAAGCAAACAGAACTAAAACCAAAACCTCAAACTCTCGGCTAACTTCACTCCTCGGGGTATCGAGCATACTTTCAGATGATCGATCAGAGTAAATGGATAGCCCGCCTATGGAAGACGGAAGCGTTGATCGGTGAGAGGGAGCTAATAAACAAAACTAAGCATACGGCCACTGACACCAAAATATAACCCGAACCAAAAAACTGAACGGTACTATTTCTACGCACCTTCTACGTGAGATGGATGCTGCTGCGTGAAGGAAGTACTGTCTTCATCAGTTTCCTTTTCCAAACGACAAGCACGGCATAGGTTATACACCCACTCCTTCATTTTCTGAAAAAAATCAGTCTCAATTCTCCCCATAATTATGAAGTGCCACGAAAAGCTCACAGCTGCATTTTCAAGAAAATGTCTAACGACCCGCTATTAATTACTGATTCAAAATAGGACTTCCGGCAAACGCGAACGAAAACAATTGGATGATGGCTTCTCAAAGTCCTAACTAGTCATTAGTTAGCACACGATTTTAGAGTAGGATTACATTTCTTATGTGGGTGTACTACCACCACGGCATTTTCACTGGCCGATGTGTGTGCCGACCGACTTTGGTATAGAGACGGGCCCTTGTGAACAAAAAACGATCGAAAAAAAAAAAAAAGGAAAACTCAAGAAATTATATAGATGTGAGTGAAATACTGAACATCACCTCTCGAGATTCTGACACATAAGTAAGTGGTGTTTTTTTTCAGCGATGTCCTTTAGTAAATAAAAATATAATGAAAATATCCACTGAAAGCCACCAAAACGTGATGTTGTCGCACAAGAGGAATCCGCTAATTGCAAATGAGAATCGATCTGAAATCAATGAAATCAAAAACATGGGATGAGGCTCTAATAATCAATCATCCAGCAAAGCTGAACGATGAATTCAGAGAAGTTAACGAATCTCACTTGGACACAGCGGACGAGATCAAGCGACTTTCTAAGCCGCCTCTTATCTTCTTTTCGAAATTCATCGAGCACATACGTTCCCAGCTTCTTGTCACAAATTCGTAAGACAAAGTACCGGCGAACCCATTTCGACTGAAAATGTGTAATAAAATTAAGCTCTTAGAAAGTGAACATCTAACAACAGCCCGAAATACCTTAAACGGTGGAAAATGCATGCCGCGTTCTCTCGATCGTATAAGCCATCCTTCCATATAAATAGAATCTGTCATCTGAACTGACAAGATATGTTATGGAGATCCATTAAAGTGGATTAAGCTATGAAGGATAATTGAGCTCGATTTGAGAATAGCACTTTTTCTCAGAAGTTATATAAGAACTCTTTGTTGAAATCAATCCCAAACCTTTGACTAGAAAGGGATCATTCGATCAATACCCATTACAATTTAGCTCGCCGTTCAACTTTTGCTTTAAAAGCTCAGAAAGCTTTGTAAGATCAAGAACCGAGACTTGCAAGAACATATAAGATTTGGCGTTGAGTAAGCAGTAACGTTTAAAAAAGCTAAGACAACGTTTGACTGTCCATTTCTGACCAAGGGCTGTTTGAATGTGACTTCACTTGGACCTGCGTGAGCGGCGCTCTTCAAGCGCAAATGCGATCAAAACTAGACAGAGCCTAAAGACATTCCAAGAACCGATCGCACGATATCGCACAAAGGAACAAATAATTTTGCCAGGATTTCGCTTCTCAAAAGGATATCGCACGAAAGCACAGGGCTATTTCAGGTACAAATTGGAGGGTGACCACAGTCACAACTCAAATACCGAAAGTCCAAATAATTTCTTGGTTCGGCTAGTGTTGGCTTCTTACCGATCATCCCTTTCTCCATTCTCACCCTTTGCACAACGGGCTTTGAACAGGTTGATAGGCAGTCATACCGACATACCGACCCACATACCTACAAGCTGACACACTATGTTAGCAGTTCACATTAGAGATGGATATATGAAGGGCATTTGTGGCATGCTGACTGAAAGAGCACATCCTAGGTGGGGTCCTGTCTAGGTCAGCAAACAATTCTCCTTCTCTGTGAGTCAAACACACTGGATTAAGCAACGGATGACATTCTCGAATCATTGCTTCGATCGAATGTGTATGCGGGTTCGTACGATTTGAAAGACACAACAATTTATTTTAGGTACTCTAAATTCAAAAATCCTGTGTCAGGCCCTCTCAGTCCGTAGATGATGTCCATCTTTTTGTCAATGACTTGATCCGCTTAATGCTCTTCTCAAATCAGATTATTTGATCGGGGAGGGGTTGAGCGATAGCAAAAGTGGAATTTCACAGACTAAGTTCAATGCTTCATGATATAGTGATTATGAGAACACTCTCAGCTTTGGGTTGTCTAGGAATCCTTGCGACGCTCCAATCTTTTTCGGATAATTCTTTTATTGGAACGAGACTTCGATAAATAAGGCCATCACTATTAACCTTAATGCCGTACCCATTTTTCGAGCAGCTTCTCAGTTGTTGCTCAAATTTTGGCGATCGCTATGAAAAGAAGCATCAATCTCATATTCAGAATGACGTCGATCAATGGATTTTTTCTAGGTACGCTTCAACGCATTAATTACATAGTGGTGGAAGCTATCCCGACACAGGCCAAGCACTGTGGTTTTCCCAGCCATAATTCGCGCCTTTTCAATTTGTAACCTTCGCAAAATGCAGATGCGCGCTGTTGTGGAGTAGGAAGATGATGAGCTTCTGGGTTTGCCTTCCGCATATCATCGGGTGTGGTCCGCTAGGGCAGAGAACGACCTTTTCTCATGTCGCAGCGCAAAACTTTTTTTTTTCAAAGCGGGAGCCCTGGTCCATTCCAGATCAGATGTGGATCTGAGCTTAATATAGAGAGAAGCTTGGAGCTGCGAAGAGCAAAATGTCGCTTCCCGTCCTAGCAAACCCCATTCCATATCATGAACCAATTCTTAGAGATGATTTAGTTGACAATGGGAATCACTATGGTGCAGGTATCCAGCAGCTTTCTATAGAGCATCATTTTGCAATCCGATCGAAACACTGGAAGACCTCTTTCTACAAAACCTGCTTTTGTCTGCAGGCAGCCTGTTTCTATGGTTGGATAAATCGAGTATTGCTTACGTGAATGATGAGTTCAGTAGTGCTTATTTGAATAGGCTGGATAAAGCCCCCAACGCGCTATTTCTGCCAAACGACTACTTTGGTAAGGAAGGTACTCACTTTTAGCCGAGATCATTCAGTTACCTTATCAACTGACGTAACCCTACCACTCATGGAAACATACTGCCCTATAACAATGGTAAAAAATCCTAGTAATTGTCGAATGAGTGCAGCCTGGCATCTTGCCAACCCACCGCTGGTACTATTCACCTGCCTCGCCAGGAGGTAGAAGGAGCGCTCATCGCTTCTATCTCAGAGCCCACCAAAACACTGCCTTCTTTCGAATGATACATGAGAGCTGCGCTACGAAGCCCTAGAAGCACTGTTACATTACGGCTTGCTGGATGGCCCTCCTGAACACGGGCCATCCAGCAAGCCGTAATGTAACAGAGCTTCTAGGGCTTCGTAGCGCAGCTCTCATGTGCTCTGAGATAGAAGCGATGAGCGCTCCTTTTACCTCCTGGCGAGACAGGTGAATAGTACCCAGCGGTGGGTTGGCAAGATGCCAGGCTGCACTCATTCGACAAATACTAGGATTTTTTACCATTGTTATAGGGCAGTATGTTTCCATGAGTGGTAGGGTTACGTCAGTTGATAAGGTAACTGAATGATCTCGGCTAAAAGTGAGTACCTTCCTTACCAAAGTAGTCGTTTGGCACAAATAGCGCGTTGGAGGTTGTGGTTGGGGCTTTATCCAGCCTATTCAAATTACTGAACTCATCATTCACGTAAGCAATACTCGATTTATCCAGCCATAGAAACAGGCTGCCTGCAGACAAAAGCAGGTTCTGTAGAAAGAGGTGTTCCAGGATTGCAAAAAATGATGCTCTATAGAAAGCTGCTGGATACCTGCACCATAGTGATTCCCATTGTCAACTAAATCATCTCTAAGAATTGGTTCATGATAAGGAATGGGGTTTGCTAGGACGGGAAGCGACATTTTGCTCTTCGAAAAGGTCGTTCTCTGCCCTAGCAGACCACACCCGATGATATGTATGTTGTGTACACCCGATGTACAAACCCAAGAAGCTCATCATCTTCCTACTCCACAATGTCATATGGTGGACAACAACGGCGCTCTGCATTTTGCCGAAGGACAAACACATCTGAAAAGCGCGCGACTATTATCGGCGCTTGGGACCCACAGTGGCTTGCCTGTGATCGGATAGCTTCCACCACTATGTAATTAATGCGTTGAAGCGTACCTAGAAAAAATCCATTGATCGACGTCATTCTGAATATGAGATTGATGCTTCTTTTCATAGCGATCGCCAAAATTTTGAGCAACAACTGAGAAGCTGCTCGAAAAATGGGTACGGCATTAAGGTTAATAGTGATGGCTTTACTTATCGAAGTCTCGTTCAAAAGAATGTCCGAAAAAGATTGGAGCGTCGCGCGGATTCGTGACTCACCCAAGCTGAGAGTGCTTCTCATAACACTATATCATGAACATTATAACTTAGTCTGGGATAATCCACACTTTTGCTAAACCCCCCCCCCCTCGCTCAACCCTCCCTGATGCAAATAATCTTGATTTGAGAAGAGCATTAAGCGGATCAAGTCATTGACAAAAAGATGGACATATCTACGGACTGAAGGGCTGACACAGGATTTTTGAATTTAAAAAATTTAAAAATAAAAAATTTAAAAATAAAATTTTCATAAAAATAAAAATTTAAAAAATAAAATTTAAATTTAAAAATAAAATTTTTACGATTTGAAAGACAACAATTTATTTTACTTTTTAAATTTTGAATTTAAAAAGTAAAATAAATTGTTGTGTCTTTCAAATCGTAAAAACCCGCATACACATTCGATCGAAGCAATGATTCGAGAATGTCATCCGTTGCTTAATCCAGTGTGTTTGACTCATAGAGAAGGTGAATTGTTTGTTGACCTAAACAGGACCCCAACTAGGATGTGTTGTGCTATTTCGGTCGGCGTGCTACGAATGCCCTTCATATCCATCTTAATATGGGCTGCTAACTTGGTGTGGGGTCGACGGACTACTTGAACTCAGCCCTTTACCGCCTCTGCGCTCTCTAGCGGGTCCTCTCCTCTCCAAGGCTTAGTCCTAGGGCATTCTCCAAATCGTCTGTAGCTCTAGCCCATCGCGGCAGGACCATTGAGGAAAAATTCAAGTACTCTCGTCAGATACCCTTTTGAGAGGCGAAATCCTGGCAGAAAATCATCTGTTCCTTCGTGCGATATCGTGTGATCGGTTCTTGGAATTTGTCTAAACTCTATCTAGTTTTAATCGCATTTAAAGAGCGCCGCTCACGCAGGTCCAAGTGAAGTCACATTTGAACAGCCCTTGGTCAGAAATGGCAGTCAAACGTTGTCTTAGCTTTTTTAAACGTTACTGCTTACTCAACGCCAATCTTATATGTTCTTGCAAGTCTCGGTTCTTGATCTTACAAAGCTTTCTGAGCTTTTAAAGCAAAAGTTGAACGGCGAGCTAAATTGTAATGGGTATTGATCGAATGATCCCTTTCTAGTCAAAGGTTTGGGATTGATTTCAACAAAGAGAGTTCTTATATATACTTCTGAGAAAAAGTGCTATTCTCAAATCGAGCTCAATTATCTTTCATAGCTAAATCCACTTTAATGGATCTCTATAACATATCTTGTCAGTTCAGATGACAGATTCTATTTATATGGAAGGATGGCTTATACGATCGAGAGAACGCGGCATGCATTTTCCACCGTTTAAGGTATTTCGGGCTGTTGTTAGATGTTCACTTTCTAAGAGCTTAATTTTATTACATTTTCAGTCGAAATGGGTTCGCCGGTACTTTGTCTTACGAATTTGTGACAAGAAGCTGGGAACGTATGTGCTCGATGAATTTCGAAAAGAAGATAAGAGGCGGCTTAGAAAGTCGCTTGATCTCGTCCGCTGTGTCCAAGTGAGATTCGTTAACTTCTCTGAATTCATCGTTCAGCTTTGCTGGATGATTGATTATTAGAGCCTCATCCCATGTTTTTGATTTCATTGATTTCAGATCGATTCTCATTTGCAATTAGCGGATTCCTCTTGTGCGACAACATCACGTTTTGGTGGCTTTTCAGTGGATATTTTCATTATATTTTACCAAAGGGACATCGTCTGAAAAGAAAACACCACTTTACTTTGTGTCAGAATCTGAGGAGGTGAGTGTTCAGTATTCACTCATCCTATATTTCTTGAGTTTTCTGTTTTTTTTTTTCGATCGTTTTTTGTTCACTTCAAGGCCCGTCTCTATATCCAAAGTCGGTCGGCACACACATCGGCCAGTGAAAATGCCGTGGTGGTAGTACACCCACATAAGAAATGTAATCCTACTCTAAAATCGTGTGCTAACTAATGACTAGTTAGGACTTTGAGAAGCCATCATCCAATTGTTTTCGTTCGCGTTTGCCGGAAGTCCTATTTTGAATCAGTAATTAATAGCGGGTCGTTAGACATTTTCTTGAAAATGCAGCTGTGAGCTTTTCGTGGCACTTCATAATTATGGGGAGAATTGAGACTGATTTTTTTAGAAAATGAAGGACTGGGTGTATAACCTATGCCGTGCTTGTCGTTTGGAAAAGGAAACTGATGAAGACAGTACTTCCTTCACGCAGCAGCATCCATCTCACGTAGAAGGTGCGTAGAAATAGTACCGTTCTCAGTTTTTTGGTTCGGGTTATATTTTGGTGTCAGTGGCCGTATGCTTAGTTTTGTTTATTAGCTCCCTCTCACCGATCAACGCTTCCGTCTTCCATAGGCGGAGCTAATCCATTTTACTCATGCTGATCGATCATCTGAAAAGTATGCTCGATACCCCGAGGAGTGAAGTTAGCCGAGAGTTTGAGGTTTTGGTTTTAGTTCTGTTTGCTTTTGTTTTTATTATTTATACGTGAAGATCCCTATAATTTATCTACTGTTCTCTTCTTTCTTTTCTTTTCGTTTCATTTTCAGTCGTTCTATTCGTTAAAATATTGTGACATTCGATGATCCTATACTGAAGCACACGATGGAATCGTGCAAAAATTTAGCACTTTCATAATAATTTTTCTGTTAGGGAAATTTAATCATAGCAGAGATCGCCGCGGTCGGCAGTGTTGAGGTTGTGAGCACCCTTTCTATGGCGAGGTATTCTATCATTGTTCGCTAATATGCGTGGCTACAGTGTTCGCATTACCTTATTTACCAAACCGTGCATTACCCTTTCTGTTTCGTTTACTGCATGCTTTTTGTGTCAGTTCAGTTCATCAGTAGAAATATTATCAGATGTTACCGGCATCCTCTCGTCCAAGAGCAGGTCATTGCACCTAGACATTTTTATTGTATTTTTGTAGTAGACTACTAGGATAAACACTGATCAGCCAAAAGCCTGATCACTGCAAGCCGGGTAATATTTGAGAATTGTGCATGGCTGACCAAATAGTCAAACTTTGTCCACCGGAAGTTTCAAACATTTTTTATGTATTTTTGAGGTGACGACGTCACGGTCATCGCGTGGAGAAGACGAATTACATGCATTTGAGTTCGTTCATAATCCTAAACGAGTGTCACGCTTCAATTCTCGCCTTTGCGGGACTCCATCATCGATGAACTACCCGACTACATCCGTTCAAATCCCGTCACACCTTCCGATGCAGTTGTTCTTTTGAATCCAGGGCGCGTCACCTCCAGCAGTTTTACGTCCAATCCAGCTCTAAAGACGGAGGAGGCGTCATCGTGGAGGGATAACCTGCAGAAGTGCTCTTTCTTACGTCACTCATTTTCACATAATCCTAAGCGATGTGAGTCTGGCAAACCATTTCCCACAACTTCCCGATTCTCGAAAACTGTTTTCTAATAATGACTATCTGGAGATAAATGTGTTTACAGTGGTATTATAATGTCATGACAAGACTCATCCTAGATCATTGGGTTACGTCCGCTTAAAACTTCACTTGAAACGTGAAATGAATCCTCCTTCCTTTGGTTGCACCTTCGCTTCACGAAGAAGCGAAATCTGCTGCTCAAATACATTACGTGAGCCTAATCGTTGTGGTAATGCCGTTGTGGATTGTAGTGACGTGCAGAAACAAATTAGCACTAGGTAGCGTGTTGTGTTTGCTGCTGTGCAGGTATGGAGAGTTCAAGAGGTTTTTTGTCCACTAAATACTTCTTTTTTCAGAAGTCAAGAAGAACTCAGCTACATTCGAGAAACTTCCGAAATCACAGCGCTCAAAACGCCATGTACCTTCATCTGCAGCGGCAAGAAAGAGCAGTCATCAACGGCGACATCGAAGAACGGGTTAGTTTTGGTTTTCCGAATTTTGGTAAACACCTTATCTCAACTTCCATGCTAAAATGAATTGATTTCGAGAACTTTTCTTTAGTCCTGATGGGTAATTTCCGCCGATGGTTTTGCTTCACTCTTTTTCTTTGTATTCAGTCTGTTTTCTTATTATTTCTGATTTCAGAATTTATTTATTGAAGCCGGCATACCATTTTCAGATTGTTTTGGTTTCGATTGATATTGTTTAGTTTGTAATCAAGAGTCTTCGGAACACTTCCTCCATTGTTTCGGCACAGCGTTCCACCGTAATGTCGAATAATGAAGTTTTCGTGAGTAGGGTTTGAGAGAAAATGTTAGGCTGCCTAATACTGTGAAATTAGCTCTGGCCACTTGTTTTTCCTTTGTGCCTATGACCACAGCCTTTCCATTTATACTCTAGTCATCTTAGTTTATTTTCCACCACAAAACTTCCTGAACCTTGACGATTAAATCTGTTTCAAAACACCTACATAAGTAGGCTTTCCAGGCTGTCAGATTATATATTAGTCCCGTCAGACTAGCGAACTGTGGAATCCCTCGAAATCCGTTGATAATTCCATGTCTTAACGCGCACGCGCCATTGAATACATAATCTTAGGGGCCTCACCTCATCGATAGTTTGCTTTCCATACATTTACATGTGCATTTTTTTTACAAATGTTCCTCAGAAGTTTGTCCACTCACTTGATCTCTCACGTAGATCTGCGTATAGATTCCCTCATTGACCTCGTGCTGTAAAGGAGTTGGCTAAATGACTATTTTTCCTCGCGCGCCGTGCCCACCGTTCGAGAGATATCCTAATCTTGAACTTGTTAGTTAAAGGCATCGAAATATCGATGGGATTCCATTTTCATTTTTCATTGTCTCCCTTCATTCTTTTTAGTTCTTCCATTTGTTGCCATTCTAGAGAATTGGCTAAAGAGCAATGACGTCAGTATTTCCATTCTGTCCGATTCCTCCTATCTTGCTCATGGTGGATTTGCAAAAAAAATCATTGTCGTACCGTAGCCATTTCGAAAACCCTATCGCACTACTATTCGTACGCCTTTTTCTGCCTCCTTCCTATCCCCTGTGTCATGGATTTTTTATAGAAGCAGAAGTGGTGTGGACAAGCGGCACCGCCTGTCACGCGCACGGTACGGGGATCAAACCCCCTGGATCGTGCGCTGATAAGCCATGGAACCTTTCACCTTTCTAGGGTCGCCTAATTTATCCTAGGCATGTCCGGGAAGAGAGAAATTCTGCTTGCCTTTACATAGTCTTTCCCGTGAGTCAGTGTATCGGCTAGGAGTAAATAGAAGGAATGAGCGATATTAGCAAAAAGTCCAAACTGGCTGAAAAGATTAGTTGTTCTTAGAAAAGTTGCAAAATTTGTAAGGTAAAAAGCGTTGTTTATATTTAATAACCTTATAAACACTGGGCTGAGACCTTTGAAGTTATCAGAAATTGGGGAAAATACTTTTAGTTACAGCTCTCACGGAGTTTAGGAGTCACTTTATGCCTCGTGTTGTGGGTATAAGTGCGTAGGTAATTAGTGCTCTTCCTTGCCCTTTCACGAAATATGTGATAGATGTATTTATGTATATGTAAAGGCTGAGTATTTGTGAAATTTCAGATTCCTTGGAAAGACCTCGGGCATCATCATCTGCATCAGCGTGCTCTTCTGTAACGTCAGGCCATCCTAGTGACGAGGGAGACGATGACTCAACAAGTTGTATTTCACAGCTGAGCAATCTTTCATGCGGACCACCGGTCCCACCAAGGTATCTCACTTTCATCAAATTTCTTGCCTTCAGTGTTTTCCAAGCCGAAGTGATGTGCAGTCTTCATTTCAGGACACGTCTAGGTCCACAATACTCTTCTGCATCTTCCTCTACTGGTGTTCCGGTAAAAAGACTGGCGATGGTGAATTCCCTCTTTTCAGCACTATACAATATTGTTTGGATGTTACGATTTTCCGTTATCATAACAGCATTGCTTTATGCTACGGATATAAAAAACTTTTCTAGGACCACCTATCTCACATGGGCTCTCCTAAGACTCGCAGCGTGATTAGTGAAACCATGGAGAACGACAGCAGCGGTGAAACTATCAAATTGTGAGTTTGATCAGCGACAAGTAAATATCAGCGAGAGAAATGCTTGCTATATTTATCTATTTAAGGCATGGAGTTGTTCCGTATGCAAACTCAGAAGGCGGCTTTCGCTTTGGATCAGGTTTCCTGCCTCCAGCGGTAGACCGGTCGAACAAACCTGCCAAGTTGCGACTCTACGATTACGAGGAGGAAAAGGTTCCAGAGGAAATGACCATACATGGTTATAATAAGTGAGCAAATACTTTAAATTCCGTCGTTTTATTTTACTGTACTATTTTGCACCTCAAGGATTTGCTCAGGTAGCGTACATGCTGAATGCTGAAAAATGTCAACTGAAGAGGTCGTCTAGTGTGACGATAGGTGTATCAAACGAGATTTTCAATTGACTTTGGGGTCTTTACCAGCTCGCTCAGTATGCCCGCAGCTTTGACGTGTCCATTAGGGCGTCTTCACTCTTCTGTATCTCGTCACTGAATCACCTGTCCCCTGTGGTCTTGTGCTTCATCGATTTCCACGAGGAAGCGTGGAGTATACGCCTCCATAGTTTTTCCTACGCGTGCCGGAGTGCTGGGCCCAGCTCGCTCGCGGAGACACGTATCTTAACATTCCTTTCCGACGCTTTCGTAAGGAATCTGATTGTCAAGCCAGTGGTCGTCCTGATGTTTGTTCGAACGACCCAAGTGATCCGTTTGCAACCGTTTTGGTCCAGCCATCATCAAAAAATCGCATGACGGATCCGTCCGTTCTGATAATGGCTTCTTTGGTGAAAACGGCCGTGCCCTGATCCCCGATCGTTTGACAGAGTTTCGAACCAGAGTCAAATGTATGTTGGTACAAGTACCAAAGAGAGGGGTGTCGTAGATGGTCCACGTGATGGAGAGGGTCTTACTCCGGTGATCAGCGATGGAAATAGCCATCGACTGTGAAGGTCGAATCGGCGGAATTAAAAAGCCACCAGCGGCCAGGCGCGACGCTTCACATCGGCATAACAGGAATGGTTGTAAACAAAGTCTCGTTAGTTGTATCAGTATGACTAAAGACTGTTTAAAAAAGAATTCCGATGTTTCTGGGGTGAATAAAACGATGAAAATTGCAGCAGTATGGGAAGGACATCCCGAAGAAAAAAGAAAATTTTTACAACGAATTTTTTTCTTGGGAAATGGATTTCTACAAAGGCTTGAGTGAATTTTTGAAGGCGTACTCGTAGTTCTCTAAAACACTCAAAATTCCACACAAAATTGTCTGAAGGAAGTTACGACCACTGAAGCATCAAAAATCCACGTTTTCCCAAAAATGGCTGATGAGTGGCTCTCCAGAATAATTTTTGAATC